GTCAGCAGTGACTAAAGAACCAAAGCATAGGCCTGGGAGTCAGAACCTTTAGGAAACAGCCAGTTCTGAGCGAATCCTTTAATCTTTTTTGCCTCTTTGCTTAGTTCTGACCCACACTTTTAGGGAAACAAATCTCTTTGCCTGACCTCTCTTGATTTCAGATCCAAACTCTCAGAACTGCCTTAATTTTAACCATCTATAATTCTACATTCATTCAAGAAGCTATTTCAACAAATGCAGAATTCAATTCTTGAAATTGAATTCTGCATTTGTTGAAATTCACTGTAGCTCAGAAAGACCAGTGTTGGGTAAGTCAGTGATGGTTGTCCTATGATGAATGTTGCCCACAAGGAGGGAAGTGGAGGGAAGTTCTGGAAGTCTTTTGTGAGAGGTGTCACCACCAGCTCAGTTGACACCTGAGCAAAGCTGGAGGAGGGCTCCAAAGAAGAGGCCCTTTCCTTTCCTGCCCTGACCCTAGGGGCCCTTCTCTGTGGCCAGATGGGCTTGAGATTCTTTGCACGCTTCTTGCTTATTTTGTCTTTAGCTCTTCAGAAGTTTTCCTATGCCTGGAACACCCCTTTGCTTTTTAATGATGTCTCAATCCTAATGATTGTTATCTGGGGAGCCATCTCAAGGTGGAGTATGAGATTCCCAAACACCATCAATTCCTTTTACTATAGACAACAAATGGGTCATCACCATGCACATGAATTCTGCCTCCTCCCTCCACACCCCCCAGACTATAAGCTTGGACTTAGCAAGGACTATGTCACACACACACACACACACACACACACACACACACACACGCACACACACACAGAAACTAGTGGCTCAGTGCACGGATTAGTGCACATTGAAAGGAAAACAATTAGAAGAAATATTTTAATATTGCTATTTGCCTTTTTAATGTAATGGACGCTGGTCACCACCTGCGGGGAGATTGGGCCCCACTCACATCTGCCTTGGCCTGGTGCCACCTGCTCACCTGCTCCACCATCCCGCTCTCTTGTCGGGGCCCTTCAGAGCGAGCAATGCCTCCACTGCCATCTGCTGCCAGTACCCCATCTCTGAAGCCTGACATGTTTCATGCCACCCCCTGGTGGTCAGCACATGTCATAGCAAGTGGTCAAACTCCCGGTAGAGGGGACAATTTGCATATTAGGCTTTTATTATATAGGATATTTTTATTGATTTCAGAGAGTAAGGGAAAGGGAGAGAGAAATAGAAACATCAATGATGAGAGAGAATCATTGATCGAGTGCCTCTTGCATACCCCAAGTATGTGCTCTGATTGGGAATCAAATCGTGACCTTCGGTTCATAGGTTGACACTCAACCACTGAGCCATGCTGGCCTGGCAGTGCTATTTCTTCTTCAATCATGTTCCCTAGCACCAAGTTTTGTACCTGGGACACAGAAGGCAATCAGTCCACATTTGTGATTGATTTAATAAATGAATAAGGACTGGAGTTTTGTAGCATGGTGTCCTGGAAGAAGGAAATATTTACTTAAGCTCTCATATTGAATGTTGGTTGTAATCTATTTGGATTTCCATACTATTTGCCTTTCACCCAAGTGGTCTAGACAGATATGAGGCTACATTTGGCCCCGGACTTGGTTTGCCCCAAGAACTCTGCTCTGCTTCATCAGGCCAACATCTCTCCTGGGATTTTTGGCCTTGCTGACTCTGAAAGTAGTGAGCTCTGAGGTTAAGTTTGCTGGATCATGTAGGATCTGTAGAAGTAGAGGAGGTAGAATGCAGAATCCTAGGATGAGGAGGTTGAAATGAGTGCTTGGGATTCCCCCAGGAGTCTCTTCCTAAATGAGAAGGAAATTCTGGGAAGGCAATGTTGTCTCCTAATTGCCACTGTCTAGGGAAAAAGTACCTCTCAGTTTACAGTGGAGGTGACAATATGACTTCCTTCTTCTACCTGTATGGCATTCATTGTTTTGATAGGGCTCCTGGGAAAGAACACCAAACTAGGATTCAGCAGATTTGAGTGTTTTCCATTTACCAACATGGGACAACAGTTTTAGGCCTTACTTTCCTTTTCTGCAAATGAAGGACAGGGTGAAACCAAATGCTCTCTAAGGACTATCCCATGATTTTATAAAAATAGATTACAGCCCAGCTGGCATGGCTCAGTGGTTGAGCATTGGCCTATGAACCAAGAGGTCAGGGTTCGATTCCCAGTCAGGTCACATGCCTGGGTTTCAAGCTTGAGCCCCAGTAAGGGGCATGCAGGAGACAGCTGATCAGTGATTCGATCTCATCATTGACATTTCTCTTTCTCTCTCCCTCTCCCTTGGAAATCAGTAAAATATATTAAAAAAATATTATATATTTCTCTATGTGACTGTTTCAGAACTTTGCAGGAGAGGGAGAGTAATTCCTTGGGCTGTGTTCTCAGGAGAGCCTAGAGGTGGAGGTGGGTGGAATAAAGTGAGGCTCTCCCAGCGATCCTGTTCCATCTTTTTCTTCCCACTTGTTTTTTCCCATCCTTTTATCTCTATGGTGAGAGGAATTGGTTAATTGTATAGACTCTGGAATTGGATAGAAATATATTTGAATCCCAGCTCTGTCACTTGCCTTAGTTTCCTCATCTGCAGATGGAGTTTATCTTGCTAAGCTCATCACTAGGATTAAATGATGCAGAGAGAGATATAAAATATTTGCTATAATTTCTCACAAATCTATTAATATTAATGCTGTTTATGTTTCCCTAGAACTCTGATTTTGACATGGAATTCTGTAATCTCCTACCCCATTGTCCAACCTGTTTTCTGTTGATTTTACATGGAAAAATTTAGGAATCATGTACTTTTACTTCTTCAGATATTTAATTGTTTCAGTCTCCAGTTCTGCTTGCACCATAAACCTGAGTTAAATGGCACAAGGTACAAGAACTAGCACAAGTCAGAATTGCTTATCGAGTTACAATATACACATCATTATCCTATATATTAAAGAAGTGATATGCAAATTGACCATCACATCTCACAAGATGGCTGCTTATGACCAGGCTGACAGGGGGCTTAGTGAGGGACAACCAAACGACTGAGCAGCTGGCTGCATAGGGCGACCAGGCTGGCAGGGTGGGGGCCAATGAGGGGCAACCAGGCTGGAAGGGGGAGCAGTTGGGGGTGTCCAGGCAGGCAGGGGGGCGGTAATAGGGGTGACCAGGCCAGCGGGGGGGGGGGGGGGGGAGGGGACAGTTAAAAGTGATCTTGCCGGCAGCAGGGGGCAGTTAGGGGTGACCAGTCAACAGTGGGGAGGGGCAGTTGGGATGACCAGGTAGGCAGGCAGGTGAGCGATTAGGAGCCAGTGGTCCAGGATTGTGAGAGGGATCGCTGGGATTGGGTTTAAAGTGGCAGTTGGTCATCCCCCGTGGGGTCCCAGATTGGAGAGGGTGCAGGCTGGGCTGAGGGGACCCTCCCTCCATGCACAAATTTCGTGCACCGGGTCTCTAGTAGACAATAAGATTTAAAAATGCTGGCATTAAAAGCATTTAGGAGTAGCAGGTGACTGACTCACCAGGGGTAAATATTTCCTTCTGCCGAATTGCACACTAAAGGGCTAGAGGAGAGGGGAAAGGGAAGCCTTGGAGCTCTTGTAGATTTCTAGTGTACTCTAAAGTTTAACAGCATTGCAGCAGGTATGTCATGCCTATGCACTAATACTAACAGTAAAGTTTTTGAGGTTTGGGATGATAACATTTCATAAGTTATCCACAAATTATATGTTAATTTTATAATTAATTACAGAAGGTGAAAAGGTAAGTGATGAGAATATTCAAGTTCTAGCTTTTAAATGCAATTTTGAATGACATTTACATAGTATTTCTATATATATACCTTTCATCTCAGTTGTGGGAATGGTGATGTTTAGAATCTGTGCTAGGGCTTTGCAAAGACTGTCCACGTGATAGCTTTGGACAGCTTCCCTGCCTGGTGCCTCAGTTCCGAGGTTCTCTGTGGTCTAGGTGAGTCCCTGCCCCCTTCTACAAGTAAATGGGCAAAACACAGGAGCAGGTGGCAAACTCCTGGAGGGCAGGGTCTGTATTATTCATTGTCATATATGCAGAACCTGGGAGGTAACAAGCACTTTGCAGACACTTATCACTTAATGAGTTTTAGAGTCTGAAAGTACTGGGTCTCTGTTATGCAGGAGATGGAGATGCCTAGGGAGGAAAACCTTATATAACATTATGAAAAGCATATCTAAGGCATGTTCTGAACCACAAGGTTCAAGAATGATACTACAGTGGGATTGTCATTCCTTTTTCACTTAACACCCCCACCTTGAATTACTCTGGAGTTGAGACTCTTTGAATGTAAGGGGATGGACTCAAAGACTTCATAGCTAGAGCTAAAATACAGGGGTAGCGAGGTTTGAAATGAAGCTTAGGTCCCAATGTGGGACAATGTCTCCTTCAGGGTGAGTGATGTCTTTACAGATCCCATGAAGAGGTAGCAGCATTGGCCTTGCCATTATATTTCAGAATACAATGAATGAAAGGAATAACAAGAAAGGAGTGGGCTCACATAAGTACAAGGTTAGCCTGACAGTTAATTAGAGGTTTGAAGGAAGAAAGGCTGTTTTGCAAGATGGCTCACTGGCTGACATTTCAAGGACTCCTGGCAAGTTGAGAATTATAAGATCTGTTCATTTTTCCTTCACTGTAATGGATCATGCCTCTGACGATGATTATGTGTATGTGTAGAGTCACGTTTTATCAGCTTCTTTCTGAATTATTGCTTATTACTCAGGGGCCTTCCAACCACTTGAAGATTACCACGATGGAGTCAGATTATAGCTGGGGAGGTAGAACATTCTGTTTTGCAGGAAGCAGTTGATTACATGTGCCACTCAGAGACATCTTGGCTTCAGCAATCTTCTCCCTATTACATTCCAGATGTCATGGCAGAGTCTTTAGGAGCAGGCCTTGGCCAGTGGCCCAATGGTATGGCAGCGAAAGGTGGACACAGGAGGTGTTCTCTGCTCTCCTTCAACAAGACAGGATCTTGAGGAAGGCTTTACGGAACTCAGTGTTGAAGGTGGTATAGATCACAGGGTTGAGGGCACTGTTTACGTAGCCCAGCCATGTTGTGGCTCTGTAAAGCGCTGGAGATACGTGGCATGCTGGGCAGTGGGTATTGAGGACGTGAGTCAGAAAGAAGGGCAGCCAGCAGACAATGAAGGTCCCTAGGTCGCAAAGGGAGAGAAAAACTGGGTAACAGGTTTTCGTACTTGTTTTGTTATAACAAGAAAATGAGTCATACTTGTTTCTTTTATGCCAGTTACCATGCAGGAAGTTTTACATACCCATTTAATTTTTAAACCAACCCTGTGAAATAGGTGTGATTAGCTACTTTTTTTCTTCTTCTTTTTAATGAGAAAAACATCAAAATATGTTTGATTCATCTTAGGTCTTTGTTCCTAAATCAGTTTTCTAGTTTGATTTTTAGGTAGTTCTTTACTAATTTTTTTCTACTTGTTAATTTAAGCCAAATATTTATTTAATGTCTATCCATCAAGATTTGATGTTAGGCACTGACAGGAAAGAAGACCCTAAAGACACAATTGACACCATTCCTGCTGTTGAGGAGATTACATCTAGAGGTTCTCATAAAGCCCCTGAGGTAGGAGGAGGCCTGGTTTGTCAGTGATAATCAAGAGGATGAATTACCTTCACTCTATGTGGTACCTGTGATTTCTCAATTTTTTTAAATGTAAGTAAATTAATATTCATTTAATAAGTTATATATTTTTACTATAAAAACTAGCTCTGGTTTTATATTGTACATTATGAAAAATTTGGTAAATACAGAAAAGTAGAAAGAAGAAATATACCCATCATGCAAAGTCAATCACTTTTGACATCTTGGTGAATTAATTTCTAGATTTTTTTCTCTCTGTATTTAATATAATCTAAATTTGATCATACCATATGATCATCATTTTTGGCATCCCTATTTTTACTTAATATTTTAGAGTAAGTATTTCTTAAATATCTGGTAAATACCACACACTTTTACTTAATCATTATCTTACTTATTATTTAATTTATCCATTATTATAAGTCCATGTAATAGACAACAAACACAGTGGAAAAACATAGCCTGAGAAGGTGACCTGCTGAGTTTCATAAATTTTGGTCTAGGTCTTGCAATTTCCACCAGTTAACATTTATACGCAAACCCTTTTCAATCATATGATAAACATTTATAAGTATTACAGTCATTGGACTTCCAATTCTGTCAAATGTGGTGACCTTAACCCTCTGCCAGCTGCACTGAACTCAACCTAACCCAACTCACCCTAACCCGGCTCAGCTCAACCGGATCCAGACTCACCAAGCACAATGACCAGCATCTGGGTTGCCTTCTTCTCCCGAAGTGGCACTCCCCGAGGTTGCAAGGGCCCCAGTTTCAGGGATGTTGACAACCTGCCATTACTGAGTTTTCGAACCTCCAAGCTGAGCTTGGGTGCCACGGTGGGGCTGAGGGAATTCCGAGTGCTCGCCTCCTTTTTCAACTCTCCTTCCCCTTCTTGGAAGCCTGGTGGCCCAAAGGCTGTATCTTGGCAAATGCTGTAGTAACGCCTCAGCTCCATGTGTGTCCGGCCAGGCGAGAGGGGCTGCAGGTGTGACAAGAGAGGGTCTTGACATTTCTGGGGATATTGCTTATCTTGTGAATGCCCCTGAAAGAACAAGAGGAAGCAACGAAGGACGGGGAATCCAACACCGTGTAAAACCTGCAGAGATTAGGCTTATATGCATTCATACAAGTCTTTTAGTTGATCTCTCCCTCTTAACCCCACCCTCCCCTACCTTCCCTGAGGTTTGATGGTCTGATCAATGCTTCTCTGTCTCTGGATCTGTTTTTGTTCACCTGTTTGTGTTGTTCGTTACATTCCATAAATGAATGAGATCTTGCGATATTTATCTTTCTCTGACTGGCTTATTTTGCTTAGCATAATGCTCTCCAGTTCCATCCATGCTGTTGCAAATGGCATGGATGGAACTGGAGAGCATTATGGGTGTGAGGGCATGAGTGGGGGTGGAGGGGCAATAGGGGAATAAGGACATATGTAATACATAGGTAATACCTTAATTAATAAAAAAAAGTAAAAAATAAAAAAATGTGTTATAATCAGATAATCAATTTATGATGCAAAATTGCTAATATATCTTTCCTCCACACATTTACATGATCTGATCAATAATATATAGTGCAATAATCTTTCCCTTTGATTTATAAAGGCCAAGCATTGAGAGGCTATATAGCCTGCAGGTCAAATTTGGCCCGCTCCTTGTTTTGGTGAATAAAGATTTATTGAAACACACACACACACACACACACACACACACACACATACACACACACACACCTGCAGAGGGCACATCTGAGAGTGGTTGGACCACGGAAAGTTAAGGTAAGTGAAATCTGCTTCTGACTCTACACTTAAAAGTACCTGCCACATGTACTTTCACAATCATCCCTGGAGGAGGAGAGCATAGGATTATAGCCTGGCCTTTTTAAGTTAGAATGGCTAGGATATACAGAGGAACATGTTACTGACACCACTGGGATGTAAGAGACAAAATCTGGACCAATTACTCAGTTTCTTCAACATATAAATTGCAATGATGACAACAATAACATTTACCAGTTGCAAAATATGGATCTTACTTGAATTTTGATTCAAGTAAACCAACTGTAAAAAATTTATGAAACAATTGAGAAAAATTTGCATATTGGATATCTATATATATATATAAAAAAAAGGCTAATATGATAAGTGTCTGACCATCCAACCTGTTGCTGTGATGTACAATGACCACCAGGGGACAGATGTTCAACATAGGAGCTGCTGTGATGTGCACTTGCCGTGTACAGAGAAATAGCACCACAGACCTGGCGCTGAAAAAGCAACACTTGGCTTCCCCCAAGTGGGACACATGCCCCACCACCACCTCAGAGCATCAGCCCACCAAATTACAGCCAATATTGCCAAGACCCCATGATGCAAAATGCAGCCTACAGCTCAGCCCAGCCTGGAAACAGTGGCTGTGGGTACTGGGTAATGACATCACATAGCAACACCTGGCTTCCTCTTCCTAGTGACTAGCCTCCTTGCAGTTTCTTCAGCCCAGGAACACAACTTGCTTTATAGCCAAGTGAAAACATTTTACACTTTAACCAAATGTCTGTGAAGCATTTTCCCATGCCTCATCTCATTTGATTGTCACAGAAGTCCTGGAGTAGGTAGATAGGAGACTCAGTGGAATCCTATTTTCTTTTCATTAGCTGGAAAATGGAGATTTAGAAAGCTTAGAAACTTGACCCTATTGGAAAGAAGTAAGAAATGGTGAACCTTGAAAATGACTTCAGATTTTCTCACAGCACAAAATATAGTCAAACACTGCTGCAGTTAAATATTTTACCCTTCGTTCTTCCTGCATGATCTATAATAATAATCTGTTTCGTGTTGATATTTACTGCTGTGTTGCTGACAATTACCTGAAAGAGAAGTTGGGGGGCTTCACTGGGTTGGAAAAATTTAGCTAAATCAGAAAGCAGGTCTAATTAAGCAAGTTTATCTATATATAAAGTTCTCACTAGTGCCAATCACACATGTGTGTTTTGATCTATTATTGTCAATTGTAAAATTGGTTGGCACTTCCACTATAGAGAAAGGGTAAATATCAATATTAAAATATTTTTTCTAATTAATTTCATTTCAATGTTCATGAATTTGTGCACTGGGCCACTAGCTTAATGATATTAGGAAAATAGGGATATTATTAATTTATTTAACTTGATGTGGTATTATGATTACAAAGTATTTTGAAATGCTCTTATATTTGGGATTTGCTTCATAACAATCCAATGAGTTTATGTGAATGTAGCTGGGGGTATAGATGAAATGAGATTGGCCATGAGTTGACAAGTATTGAAACTGACTGATGCTAATGTAGGATGTGTTATATTTGTCTTTCTACTTTTTTATTTTTGAAATTTTCCACAATAAAAAGTTAAAAAAAAGGAAACCCCAGAATTTTTATCTCATCTTTTCTACTTAGTAGATGTATCATTGGCCAAGTTAATTAGATGTCTCTAAGCCTCATTTATACAACAGAAAAAAAAGGGAAAATTTATAGACTCAGAGTAGAACACTGAAAATGTGTGGATATTTCTGGTATGGGTGTGTGTATGTGTGTGTGGACTCAAGATCTGAGCTTTCCATGTTTGAAGTTAATCTTGCGTAGCAGGCAGAACCCCTCAACTTCCATAACTGAAGACAAAACAGCCAGATATTCACTCTCCCCATCTCCCCACCCAGCTGCTGGAAGTCTGGAACATGAACCAAGCCCAACCAATTAAAGATTCCTACCTAGAACCCTGAATTGGAGCTCGTACACTTTAACTTCTAAAGCAGGGAGACTTCAGAATTCATCCAGGAGTGTTGGCATAGATGTTCAGTGTCCTAGGTCTTCAAACAAGATTTTTCCTTAGGCATGAACAGCATCTTTTAAAGCTGTTCTTCGGCCTTCTCATTGAGTATGAGCTACTGGATATCCTTCCAGGAATTTCCTCTTGCTACTTAAGTTAGTGACAGCAACCAAGAACCTCACCATCTCTCCCTAATTTAAGGAATCACAATCCTACAGACATTCAGTGCTGGTACACTGTACACACTCAAAAATATTGTTGAATGAATCAATGTAAGGGACCTTCAAGGTGATATAAATATTTTAAAATTGTGCTCCATTTTTAAAAATTTGGATTTCAATTTGATGGGGTTTTCTAATAATATAAGTACATTGTGTTTTATCTGAATGAGCATGGTTATGTTTATAATTGTGCTGGCATTGAATGATCTTCTAAAAGTGACAATATTTAACTTCTAAAGGATTATTTCTGAATCTAGAGGACTGGGAACCAATTCTTGAGAATGTTTAGGAAATCTCAGATCTGAGAACACTGACCTAGGGTACCTCGTCTCGATTTTACAGAGGTGGACATTCAGTCATATAGAAGGAAAGTGATTCTTTTAAGAAGATATATTGGTGAGTGTATTTTTCAGCTCTGTGAATCCGAATCACTACCCCCAAGACTGACAGGAGAAAACACTGAATTCCTTTGGGTCTGGCTAACAGAGCCCTCTACTTTCAAGTGGCAGGATAGAACCCGTTTCTCCACATTCCTGCAATGCCAGACTCTTGGCCTCTACTATCTTCTTAGTATAAGCAACTAGGTTACCTGAGAATATTGATCCTTCTCTTTTCATAACCTCAAAGGCATTTAATATTTGGGTGTTCAATTGTCTTCACCTCACATTTCACAACCAAGCAACCAAGTGGATACTCTAAAATCCACTTTTTTTCCTTTTGGCCTTTGAGCTTCCTCTGACATTGGAACTGCTATAGGTAGTTTAAACCTATATACATAATACATATAGAGATATTTTAAAAATATTTAATAGCAAGAGTCTCTGCTACACAAGGTTTATGTAGAAAGTGGTTAATTAACTATACAAAAATTGGGCAAGGCTCAAACCTTTCTCATTATGGGTTTCTGAAGCTTTATTTTTTTTTTAAAATAGATTTTATTGATTTTTTTTTTTTTTTTTTTTTTACAGAAAGTAAGGGAGAGGGATAGAGAGATGGACACATAGATGAGAGAGAAACATAGATCAGGTGCCTTCTGCACACTTCCTACTGGGTATGTGCCTGCAACCAAGGTACATGCTCTTGATTGGAATCGAACCTGGAACCCTTGAGTCCACAGGCCAATGCTCTATCCACTGAACCAAACTGGTTAGGATTTGAAGCCTTATTTTGAATATTTAATTGACTGTGAAGTTCAGGGAAAGGAATACTGGACATATACTTAACACCTTCAGGCTCCGTTTTGCACTTGGCTTGCTTAGGGAGACAGGTCTAGCTTGAATTAGAAGGACAAGTGTCAAGGTGACCATGAAATTGTCTTGTTTCTCTCTATATTAAATGACAAGCAGGGCTCACATTAGCCTCCCCTCTGCTCTTTTATGTTCCACTGATGCCTAGTTCCCTCTAATGCAGGTGGCTCTGGCTGGCATCCTCACATCACATTCAAGAAGCTTTGGCTCTAGTCATTAGGACTTCACCCAATAGCCATATGTTTTTTGAGTGTCATTTGCTGATTCTTATTCATAAGCTCAAATCAGGCAGGTTCTCAGAGCTGTTCTATATTATAGATACAAGTGTGGGATTGGGCTAGATTCTATTATGGAATGGAAGTGGAATCAAATCAAGCCAGGATCTTTGAGAAAATATCTCTTATTCTTTTCCTATAATTAAAGGCATGGTTTGCTTACCATTTTCCCTGTGGCATCTGATGGAAATCTGGCCCTTAGTGAAAATTGCCGAATGGGGTGCAGCCGAAGACAGGAAGACTAGGGTAGGTTGAAGGAAAAATAGTTATAGGTTAAGCTCTACACAGTTGAACCATATAGATGACAATGCTTTAAATACAATATGTTTGTATCCTCATCCTCCACCACCGACCTCCTATCATATTTCATGAGGACCAGTATGCTTGTTCTACTCAAACCTTGGGACTTCAACTTTGAGAGTTTGACCCTCACTCTGATTGATCTAGACATCCAAATGCCTTAAAGATAAAATTCAGTTCTTACTTTGTCTCTGAACCTCTTTCCTGAGCATATTGAACTCTTTCTTCTCATAACTTCAAAGACATTCAATATTTGAGGGTTCGATTGTATTCAATTAACATTTGGCAAACATCTCATTCAGTTTTGGGCTGCTCATTAACTTTGGGTGGAGGTGTGCTTATTTGCTTGTTTAGAGTCCAAGCTCCATGAAGGCAGAAGCTGTATAATATTCCTGCTGTCCGTTCCCTAGAAGATTTCAAGTGTTTGGTATGTATCCATTCATGCTTTAAGTACTTTGTGGATGAACTACATGACACTGGGCACTGGGATAAGCAGAATTTAAAACCCCAGAAATGGGAAGGTTAGTGTTGAGGCAACAATCCTCCTTTTCAGAGCCTAACAAGACCACCCAAAATGCATCATCAGCATCCCAGTCTACCAGCTTGTCAATGCCTGGATGTAGGGACTGAGAGTAAAGAAAGGAGATTTTGATGAACCCTGATAATTTTTGGAATGAGTGATCTGGCAAGAAAGTCCATTTTGGGAACTTCTAGCAGTGCATGATGTAACTGTCACACTAAACTTTGAACCCTGTGTGACATCTGAACTTCTGGCCATTTGGGGACAATGAAAGACTTTGAAGGGAAGCAGAACATGTTTATAAACTGTCCTATAATCTTCTCATGTAAGATGTGCTCTAGGAAAGACTATCAATGAACTTTTTGCATTGAATTTACTATCTCTAAAGCAGAACAAACACCAGCAGATTAGAAGGTGGGGGTCAGATGTGTGTCTCCGAAGTGACAGTTTAGGCAAAAAACATTCACTGCTGGACACAGGCTGGGAGGTCACAGAGTCGGGTGCTGTCCTCCCTCTGCCCCTTCCCCATGCTTACTTGTTGGGGGAAGCTGGGCCTGACACTGATGCACTGACTGTTCTGTCGAGTGAGAATCCGTTTCCGTCTCCTCTGTCTCAGTACCACATAGATCCTCGCATAGACGAGGACAGTCACTCCGAAGGGCAGATAGAAGGACACCACTGAAGAGTAGATGACAAAGTCAGGGTTGGAGATGGAGCAGACACTGGGGTCTCCTGTGATAGAAAAGGAGAAAGCAGAGCAGTTTGCCAAATATGAGGCCTCAATAGGGAGCACAAAATATGGCCCCAAACCACGTGTGGTATCTGCACTGTTTGCTCAACGCGGAGCTTGGAGGAGCAGGGATTCCCACCTATACCCTCACGGTGCCCCAGTTCACATGCTGCCTCATCCAGGGAGGCTTACTTGAGTTTCTTATTCAGAAGCAACTCTGTCTTCCTTTGTGCCTCACAACTCCTTACTTCTGCCTCTTTTGTGTAGTTAGCACACAGGTCCTGATTGCTATGTTGTCAGCTCCCTGAGGGTAGGAGGTCTCATGTAGCTTTGTGTTGCTCACAGTTCACTTAAAAAACAACCCCCAATGATTACATGCCAGACACTGGGACTGTGAAGAGGCATGACACCGTGTCTGCCCTTGAAGCAGCTGACTCTAAACAGACAGATGATCTCTTCTATATGCTGTGCTAAGTGCCACGGAGGAATGCAGCCTGGGAGGCTGGGGCGAGTGTCTCTGAGCTTGGCTCCACTCCAGGCTGCAAAGTTTCAATTGTAGAAGATAAATGAATTCCAGACACCAGGGCCTTCGCTTGGGTCAGTAGGTGACATGGCTGGCCTGCAAACCACCACAGGCCTCTAGCTCAGGCCACCCCACACCCCAAGGGAACCCCCACCCCGATTCAGGACACCCTTCAGGGCAAACCAGCTGGCCTCCACAGGCCTCTATCCTATCTAATAAAAGAGTAATATGCAGATTGACCATCACTCCAACACACAAGATGGCTGCCCCCATGTGGTCAAAGATCCTGCCCCTATGTGGACACAATATGGCCACCACAAGATGGCCAGCAGGGGAGGGCAGTTGGGAGGGACCAGGCCTGCAAGGGAGGGCAGTTGAGAGGCATCAGGCCTGCAAGGGAGGGCAGTTGAGGGGGACCAGGTCTGCAAGGGAGGGCAGTTGAAGGCGATCAACTGTGCAGGAGAGGGCTGTTAGAGGTGACCAGGCTGGCAGAGGAGGGAAGTTGGGGGCAAACAGGCTGGCAGGGGAGCAGTTAGAAATTAATCAGGCTGGTATGGGAGTGGTTAAGGGATGATCAGGCTGGCAGGCAGAAGCGGTTAGGAGCAATCAGGAAGGCAGGCAGGTGAGCAGTTGGGAGCCTGCAGTCCTGGATTGTGAGAGGGATGTCTGACTGCCGTTTAGACCCGATCCCACAATGGGCAGTTTAACATCCCTTGAGGTGTCCCAGATTGGAGAGGGTGCAGGCTGGGCTGAGGGACACCCTCTCCCCTGCCCCCCCCCCCTTGCACAAATTTCGTGCACTGGGCCTGTAGTGTGTTTGTTTTTTTTTTTTTTTTTTATAACACAATAGTTATCTGATTTAGCAAACATTTAAGTACTAGTTATTTTTCTTGTCTGTGAAATGAAAGGAGCGAGCTGCTCATTCAGGGATCTTTCGGCTTTTCTATAACACCAACACTCCATGCTCTACGGCTGTTGGGGGCTGCTGGTGGTGTGATATTGGCTTGACTTCTGGGCCTCTGCTTAGAGCAGGGGCAACACTGGGCATCCAGGCCCCACAGCCTTGAAACTCTCTGTGATGCAAGACTTTGCCTTAGATGTACATCCAGAAATACATATTGACCTTTCCTCATCAATAGGAGCAACTTTAAGTTGAAAGAAACATAAGTTCAACTTTTCGCTACCTTCTGTTCTCTGACAATTCACAATCCCACATGGCAGCCCATTTCATAAAAAGAAAAAACCCTGACAATGTTTTTCTGTGTCTCACTTGTTAGTGAAAGTTTACTTCCAATATCAGGTGTTACTGGCAGTTTCCTGCCCCTTTCTCCTCTGCTTTTCACAGGGGAAGTAGAAAAACATAATTGAGAGAAGTCGTTTATATTGGGCTTTTGAATGGACTTGGGAACTTCCTTTTAGATGGAAGAGGTACGGAAGGAACCCACATCTATCAAGATAATGATGCTGTTCTGTGAAGGTCAGACTGAGGCAGAGAAGGATGCTGGGACTCCTGCCTTGAGTTCTGCTTGAGTTTTCGGACAAGACAACTGGTTTCCTCTATAACCACCTGAACTACAACTGTTCAGATTTCTCCTTGGAACAGGTGCATAGTTAAATTTTGAGGCACAGAAATCATTCCTAATAGGTAACAACAACACCACCATTAGCTAATGTCTAATGGGGTCTTCTGATGGACTTGACACTTCGTCATAAAATATAAATAAGTGAAGGGCTTACCATATAGCCTTATTAGTAATCTTAGAGGTAAGAGAGAGGTGAGAGATTATGAGAGAAGTGAGAGTGTACATGCTAAGTCATGAGCATTCTCTACCATCTCAATTCTATATTTGAAAATCCTTTTGGAAGGATTTTTTTCTGAGTTTTGTTTCTGGAACAATAATGATCTCATTGGTGGCAACAACACTGCAATGAGCTCATCATTCTTCTTTACTTCAGATGTAGGCATTAACTGAGACCTCTAATGCCAGATTTTGAGACTGTTTTAACTCTTACCAGGGTGTGTGTGCCTGTGTGTATGAGAATGAATAAGACCCCTCCATCAGTCCCAAGAATAAGTATGAGGACCTACCTAGTCCTGCAAATGTTGGTAGGGATTTGCTACTGACCAGGGAGCAGGGTGGGGGTAAGAGGCGGGGTGAGGGGGATTAAGCAATGCCTTGGTCTAACAGTGGTAGTGAGTGCCTCATACTAAAAAATACAAACATAGAAGGCATTTTTGTACAGAAGCAAAGATATATAAGGTGGCTTAGTTATCAGACTTACCCAGAAAGCATACATAAAACTCATCAAAACTGGTACATTAGTGCCAGTCAGTCTCTATCATTGTGTTGGGGGATATTATTAATACTTCGGGGTGTGTGTGTGTGTATACATACATATTTGTGTGTATGAAGTGTCATTCAGTGAAAATTACAAAATAACTCATGTTAAAGAGTAATGCAAAGATGATAGTAACATCATATTTTAGGAACACCCTGAGTTTACCAGGCAAGTATTTTTTGAGTAATTTGGCTATTTAATCTTTAATGTGGCAGAGAAACAAGCCTGACCTTGAACAGTTGGTATGTACTCGCATGTCTGTGTATGCTATCCCAATTTAATCCTCATTTAATTGTAAAAAAAAAAAAAAGTCTATGAAGGAAGTAAAGTGGAATTATACCATACATAGGGTTAGATTCTAAAGTCAATGAATGAGTAAAGTAAAAATTACGGAATTGAAATTTGATTTGGAAAAAACCCTGAATTACACATAAAGATACATGATCTGATTACAGCTCTGAACAGTAATACGTAAAATGAATGATACATTCTAAAGAGTTCAAATGCATCGTGTAATTTTCGAGATGAAGTTGCCGGCTTATTTGTAAGAAGTCATATATAACAACAAACATCGAAAACTTCCTAACTGAATATACAGACTACATCTACACATTTGAATTTGCTCAAGTTTATGCTCCATTACGAGTACATTGTTATTCCAAATTGACTAATAAGGACACTTAGGAAGGTTATGTGACTTGTTCAAGGAGACACAGCTGGTAAGGAGTAAAATTGAAGTTTGAATCTAGGTTGTTCAGACTCGAGTCTCTGTCTGTCTTTCTAAATGTGTTTTGACTTCTACATCATTGTCCAGCAAATGGCTCTTTGAAGACTATTTATAGGTTAGTATTTTTCTGTATTTATATGTATTATGTTACATGTAATGTTTGCATAACACCTAAAAACTCAGCTAGCTATGTAACTTGTACATGTATACTAGAAACCCGCAAACCTGGAACACAGTAGGAATTGAATGAACCAATTCAAATGGACAAAATAAAAAATCCATATTAACATTAGAAAAAGAGTCAATCAGTTCTCTGTTAGTAAAGACTCAGTATTTATTACCAATCAATACCTATAGCTTTTCTATATGAAAATAGTTTTCGTCCAACACATAAAATTTCTGAGGCCAAAAGATGGTCATGAAACATACAAGAGGGCACTGATCCATGTGAGATGTAAATTTGGACCGATGTCATGTCTAAAATCTCAAATTTCTCAGATATACACATTGTTCATCCATTTGTCCATCCATCCATCCATCCATCCATCCAACCTTCCAATAGAAGTTGTACCAGGTGCCAACCATTGTAGCTAGAATTTTTGTATATTAAAATATAAGAAATATAACCATAAATAACTTAGGAATCTATACTAGTTCCAACATTTTAGAAATGATTCTTACTGAGCAAAAATTAGAAATGTGTATCCTACTTGAGGGCTTTTACATGCTACTTTGCATTATAAGTCAATTATGAATTATAATATTTTCATTAGCAAACCTCACCTAAATTACTAATATGGCTTAGTTTTTTTTAATTGGTGCATTTCTTCAAACAAATACAATGGCAACTCTTTCAAAATACTGAATAAGCCAGATTTTTTATTAATTGGGGCAGAAATGTATTCCTGTGCCAATAATCAATGAAGCTTGCCTTATATTTTTATTATAACCAACAAAGGAGGCCAAAGCTTTGCAGTCTACAGCATCTTTCACTTGATACCAAGTGCACTGACCAAGGGTCAGAAATTTCAGGACTGAGCACTTACTTGTAGCCATTCACATGTGCTGTGAGTCACACGGGTTTGGAAGTGGGGCCATAATGGTTACCTGTGGTGTTGAAGCCGAAGAGGAGCGGGCAAGACACAGCAAAGGCCAGCACCCAGACGGCCGCAATCATGAGGGCCACGCGCCGGCAGGAGCTCTGTCCCGTGCCATGTTGGTAGTGAACTGGCATGACCACAGCAGTGTACCTGTGAAAGGCAGGAAGGACAAGACAGACTTGGTGAGAAGGGACAGGGGAAACAAGCTGAAGGAGGCTCTAGAAAAATAATCAGGTTGGTAAAAGTGCAAGAGAAAAATAGTTCTGATGGAAAAAGAGAGAAAAAGTGAAATTAGTGTAAATGTTGAGATAAGATAGATGAAGAGCTAGCTCATTGAGGTGGGAGATCAGAGAAAGGGAGAAAGAATTAAAGGTTAGCAGAGCAGCAGAAAGTGCTGCAGAACTTCTCTATCTAGTCCTGACGGATGGCCCCGCAGATCCGAGCCCTGGACTCACCACCCTACACCCTGAGCACTCTGGTGGGTGCTTTTCTTTATCCCACAGTTCTCAGACAATGACAGAAATGTGCCCAAAGTAGATGTTTATCCCTGTTTGTATACTATTATAATATAAATGCCAACGCTCTCAGTGACAGTTATTCCAAATAACAGAGATACTGAAAATAGAGATAAGCACCATCCAATGGAGTAAAATCCAGTTTTCATGGTGACTTCTGTTATGGGCTGCTATGTAAAAAACACCATATACTGGAAAGCTTAAACAACAAATGCATTTTTTTAAATTTATTTATTTATTTATTTATTTTTTATTAATTAATTATTTTATTTTTTTTTGTAGTTCAGAAGGCTGGGTAGTCCAAGAGCACGGCACTGGAAAATTCAGTGTCTGGTGAGGACCTGATCATGGATAGCTGTCTTCTCACTGTGTCCTTTCATGGTGGGAGGGCGGAGGGAGCTCCATGGGGTCTCTTTTACAAGGACACTAATATCATTCATGAGGTCTCTACCCTCATGACCTAATCACCACTCAAAGCCCCTACCTCATCATTTGTGGGGTTAGGATTTCAGCATATGAATTTTTAGGAGGTGGGAATGGGGACACAAATCTTCAGTCTACAGCACACACTTTTACATGGTCAAAGCACCATTCTTTATTCTTGTTGGACATTGTTGTCTTTTCTATGGCAACTCCTCACACACATTTCCAGCTGCTTGTTGGAATTATTACCAGGACACTTGTTCAGAGTCAGCTCAAACTCAAGTTATCTAAAATAGATTTGCCTACCTCCCCACATTTCTTAATCTGGTTCTGCTTCCTGCTTTTCTTCAAGACATCTATACCCAAAACTCAGGCCTTTTGCCTTTCCCTTGGCCCCTTATCATATAATTTTCTCACTCATTCATTTAACCATTCATTCAATGTTTATTGAGTCCCCACCATATGCCAGGTGCTATTCTGGAAATATAGAGATGTGCAAATGGGACATTGTCCCTGTCCTTATGGAACTTGGAATTGAGTGGAGCGATGGACCAACAAATTGTGAGTATGCAGTGAAGAGTATCAAGAAAGAAATAAGCTGGGTGGCATTTTTGAGGATAATGGTGGCTGTAAAGAAGGGGTAAACCAACAGAGACCAGGCAGGGAAATGAGAGGGGCAAGGGGGACCCGGTCATGTGATAAGATAAGGGAAGGGCATTTTAAACAGAAGGAAAAAAGTCCTATAAGTTTACCCATTATGATATCCTTGTTGAACCTTCTCCCATTGAATGTAGACCAAACATGTGAAGACAGTATAATGTTGCCCCCATGATTTGATTACTGATCGAGAGTCTGAAGTAATCAAAAGGGAGATTATCCTCAGTGGGCCTGACCTGATCAGATAAGTTCTTAAAAAGACTGGGGCCCTTCCTTAATACAGAGAGATTAAAAAGGCATGAGAAATTACCCAGCTGGCTGTAAGGAGCAAACTGTCAAGGTTGGGAGAGATCATTTGGCAGGGAATGGCAAAAGGCCTCCAGGAGCTGAGAACAGCTCTTGGGTGACAACCACAAGAAAGTGGGGACCTCTGAGCGACAGCTGCAAGGAAGCTGAGTTCTGCTGACAACCTCAAGGATTTTGGAAGGGGACCCTGAGCTCCAGATGAGAACAAATCCACCCCACACCTTGGTGTCAGCCTTGCGAGATCCTGAGCAGGACACTTACCTGCCCTATGCACAGACTCTGACATACAGAAACTGTGAGATTAAAAAATGGGCATATCATTTGGGGAGGGGAGGTTAGAGAACAACCAAAGGACTTGTATGCATGCATATTACCATAACTAATGGACACAGACACTGGGGCGGTGGGGGCTTGCCCAGGCTGGGAAAGGATGTGGGGGTGGGGTGGGGTTAATTGGGGGAAAAGGAGACATATGTAAAACTTTAGACAATAAAAAATACCCCAAAAAATAAAAATAAAAAAGAACATAATTTAAGCCCATACATTTGCGACAATTTGTTTCAGAGCAACAGAAGGGACTGGTGTCTGTGTCCAATCATCATCCCTTCTTCCCTGGGGAGCTTCTTCTTGATCAGCTCTCCAAAATTCCCAGGCCTCTTCATCTTACAGAGACCTCTCACTCCTATGCCAATCAATCATGCAACTCTTCTGCATGCCTTATTGTTGAACTTGCCTCCTGAATGAAGGTTGTCCCCATATGATTTAAGTTACTTGATGGCTCGAATCATCATATAGCCTTGCTATTCCCCATAGGTCCTTGCCTGAAACAAGTAGCAAAAAGCTATTGATTGATTTCCTTATGGATCCTGAAGGCCTCTTTTCAGAGAACAATTCTAATCTTAGCCAGGCCCAAGGGATCTCATGGATAGAGCTGGGTCTACATATGCTCATTTTTCCTTTGTTTTCTCAGCATCCAGGGAACCTGAAGACCAGATGCAGACAGGAGGTGCTCAGAGGTGCTAAGCCTCTGTGCATCCCAGGCATTTGACTGAGGACGGGAAGGACAGCCCCCTGGCTGGAGGGGCTGGAACAGTGCTTCCCCTGATGCTCCTCGTATATGTGCCTGAATAACCAGCTTTTTGTGCTTCTGGCCTTAGAGGTCATGTGTCAGCATTTGCATTCCCCCAGAAGCAGCGTCAGAGTCAGTTCCGAGGACTGAGAGGGAGGCAGACTCTGCGGGACTTGACCTTGGCACCATGATCTGTGACAGAGGTGGCTTCTTTCTGGAGAGGGAGAAATAGAGGCCCTGGTTTAATAAGGTCTAATTAAGATCCCACCTCTACCCTAAGGGAGGCCTATGACAACCCAGGTCTCTTCTCCTGATGCACACACATTGCGAATCTTCCCTTGAGTTCCTAACCTGGTGATGAAGGAGCAGGGCAAGTAGCACCTGGCATTCCTCCCGGCCTTTCACCCCTCTCAGGACTTCAGACCCTGCTGGGGCAGTGAGCTGAGCCTTCAAGTCTAATGTGCCTTCCCCAGTCTGGCCCTTAGCACTGACTGCTGAGGCGCCTTGGAGAAAGAAGACTGAGCCTTGAGTCCTGCAGCTGTCATAGGCAAGCAGCTGTCAGGGCTGGGAAGGAAAAATATGACCCACTTCCTCTTGTCCAGACCAGCGGTGAGGCCCAGGCCTTCCATTTACACAATGTCCTTTGATGTAAAAGCTGGATTATCCCATCCATTCAGTGGTGTGCCACTACATGGCCAACAACTGGCTCTCTGGGTAAAGAAAGCCCTAGTGCGTACCATTTGTCAATTTCAACAGTACCTGTTCTCCCACCTTACTCGTTTAAAGATTCACCAAAGGGTCAATAACTGGCTCAGAAAGTTCTTTCAATGTTGCCCATTAGCTTCTGCTAGCCATCACCAGCTGGCTCCAAGCACACCACTGAGAGGGGCGTGCGTTCCTAAACACGCTTTAATGTTTTGCAGCTCCATGCAGGCTCCTGTTTATTTTTTAATAAGCCAGCAAGTGTAGGGAACACTAGCTCTGCTTTATAATGTTGGAATCAGAGACACAGAGAAGCTACACGATGAGCCCAAGGTCCCTCAACCGGTAGTGTCAGAGACAGATTCCCTGACTCTGAGGCCTTGTGGAACCTGGGGTGTCCTCAGGAAAGGGCTTGAAGAGTGGTTGTGCTTAGGTGCAGAGCTCAGTTTCCCCAGCGAACTGGATTCTATCACTTGCCTGGGGGTTCTGTTAAAAATACATATTCTCAGGACACATCCCTGAGAGTGAAACCCAGAAATGTGTACTTATAACAAGCAAGTGAGTGCACCTTATGATTAGACAAGTTTGGGAAAGTCTGCACTAGGGAAAATACCTTGTTAACTTCTTGTTAACTTGGGTAAGGAGTGAGATGTGAGACTACATTTACCATTGTGACATTACACTCTTTTCTAATTATTTTTTAAACATGATTAAACATTTGGAATAAATGAGGCCCCCAAACTTGCCTCCAGGGTTTTCCTTGGGGACGGAGACACAGAGGCTGTTCCGGAATCCGCCATCGGAGGGCACCATCATGCAGCAAGAACTCCGCCAGCTCCGTGGATGAGAAGTTCATTGCTCACCCGAAGGCTCTCCAGGCCCAGGGGGAGGCAGCACGGCAGAGCTCAGCTCCCTGGTTCCTAGAGCCGTGCAGGGATGCTGAATTCCCACCTAACAGGCTGCTCAGCTCTGATCTCCTCCCAAATCCATCGCAGATGACCGGCCGCAGGCAGGCCCAGGGCTGGGCTTGGATGCAGCAGGAGGTCAGGGCAGGGCCGCCTCTGAACGCTGGTCTGCTGTGCTCAGTGGCCCAGCCTGCTCCCCAGATGTTGCATTGTCCCTGCCACTCCCTTGCCAGGCCCCCTCCCCTGGTGTTTGAGCTCCTAGTTCTTTGGACTCTCTCTAGCACGGCCTGAACACGGGCAGTGTACAAGGTGGTTAAGTCCGTGGGCTTCGGAAACAGATTGACTAGGGTCTAAATTTCAGTTCTTCTACTTAACTGCGAGTTTCTAAGACTTATCTTGCTCATCCGTACAATGGGGAGGATGATTCGATTCATAGGGCTCTTATAAATAGTGAATGTGAAGGTTTTTTTTTGTTGTTGTTTGTTTGCTTTTTAGCACCATGCCTGGTACATATTAAATATTCAAAAGCCAGTACTGCAGTACGTATGTAATTGTCATTATTGTGCAAGCCCAAGGGACCTGTGAATGCTCATGTCAGTTAATTTATTGGTGTCTGCCCTTTATATTTACTTTTTAGGGAACATTCTATTTATTTATCCAGCAAGCATATATAGCACTTTCTATGTGCTAGGCAACTGTATGAATTACTCTACAGATAATAGCTCATTCAATCCTCACATCAACCTTTTGCTCTTATGCTAAACAGGTAAGAAAACTGAGGCCCAGAGAGGTTAATTGGCTTGCCCAAGGTCGAATTGCTGTTAAGGGGTAGGGCCAGGATTGCAGGCAGGCAGTGTGGCTCCCTACCTTAGGGCTAAGCGCCACTGCTCAAGGCCGTGTGCAGAGGACAAAGAGGCCGATGGATCCCTCGTCCTGCTGCCTGCCAGCTGTGTGGCCTGGGCAAGCTTATCTACACAGTCCAGCCTCAGCATCTTTATTTGGAAACTGGGATCATACACCTACCTGGCCTGGGTGCTGTGATGGTTAGCAATAATGAAAAGCTGGTAGTGCCTGGCACATAGTACATGCTAAATAAATAGCAGCTCTGTTTATAGTTGCTTATATCATCAGGCAAGTTAGGATGAGCACAGAGGTAGCTGGGGCCTTAGAGACATAGGAACACTGCCTTGTTTACTCCAGGAAAATAGGACCTGTAGCTGCTGGTGTAGCCAGAGGCCTCTCCCAGGATGCCCCTTCCCCGCCTCCACCAATGGAAGGTGCTGGCAGGGATCTGGGGCACTCAGCCCCAGACCTGAGCAAAAGGCTGTAGAACTCGGTGCAAGCAGGTGACAGTTCTACACAAATGACTAAACTGTATATGCCTTTTCTGAGTCCCAATTCTGTGACGGAGGTTTGTGGGCTTGTCACTCTAACTGAAGGTCTCAAGATCCTCCCAGAATTCAACCTCCGCCTAAAAGAAAGCCTCGTCCCAGGGTGGAGGTGTGCGTGGGGGAACCGACGGTGGTGCCTCTTGAGGAAGCTGGCGGTGGGAGGCCGGGCTGGTGGAGGGCCAGGGTTTAATAAGCCCCAGAGCGCTGGGAGGGCTGCTTTTCACCCCCTTTTATTTCTTCAGACAGGGGGCTCACTAAATCTTTAGTTCTGTGCACTCCCTTCCTGGAATTGTTGAAGAAAAAAAAAAAAAAAAAGCTTCTTGCAAATGATTAGAAAGCCCTTTGCAGATATAAAATGCTTATTTAGATGCAAACGAAAGCTCCAAGGTGCCTGTGACCCATCTGGTACCTATTGTGCTCCCACAAGGACGCCGAGGCTGCCTGTGTGATGGGTGCCATTTGAGAGCCACTTAAAGGGCTCCCGGTGAATGCATTTGGTTGCATTATTCCCCCCGCTTCTCAAGGAGGACCTGCATTCTCCCTGCTCACATCGTGTCCTTCTCCCCTGACACTTTCTCAGCCACTTCCCCAAGTTTGTTCCGACCTAGGACGTGGCCCCTGCGGAGGCAAGGAGCCAAGGGGGTGGGGCCTCGTGCTCACCCACTCTGCTTTGTGGAGAAGAAAGGCGGCTTTAATCCAATTCTTAGGCATCAGAGCTGTGCCTAAGGACCTAATGACAATAGTGTTCCTTGCTTTCAAAAACCCTTTCAACATTTCCTTTTCTTTCCCATCTCTTACTCCTCTCTCATTACAGACCAGGGCTTCGCAGACCAAAAATTGCTGAATCCATTTGGTCAATGTGTCAGGCTGGTGACTGGTATTGTGAGGAGACCAATGTCTGCTTGAATGACTGCATTTTTAATGAATTGACCAGCTCTTCGGCATCACAGGAACAGAATTTAGCACGGTGTACCGCAAAAAACCGCGGTGGAGGATAATGGAGACGGTTTCTTCAAGATAGGAGGTTTTCATTCCTAGAATAGGAAGGAGGCTCCAGTGTGAGGTTGGGCGAGGATTTGGCCATAGAAACGGAAGCCCAGGAAGGAGCATCCTCCTCCGCTGGCGTCTCAGGTGGTAGGTGAGTGCTATGCATTCTGGGAGTTTTCCTGTTCTGGACAGAAACCGGTTCAAGGCTTTGGTTGTATCTTCCGTAGTGAAAACAAAAGTGTGTGTGAAGCGTGGCTACTGCCGGCAAAATGGTGCTCTCCTGCAAACGAGAAAAGGCGCCCTCTCCTGGTGGACTCAAGGCTTGGCAAATGAGGCACTGGCCGCATTCTGTCTCCACACCTGCGTGCAATGCACAACCTACCTGCTCAGCCTCACCCACCAGCCCCATGTGAATGTGTGAGGATGGAGGGTACAGCCGCAATCTCAAGGGGTAGAGAGCAAGGTCAGGAAGTAGGAGGCTGGGAGGGGGCTGTCCAGGCCTCTTAGACTCTGTCTTTCAAGGCCCCTCCAAGGCTCACCTTCTCCCTCTCTCTCCTGTCCTTTCTGAAGATGTGTATTTGTGATATAAGCATTGGCCACGCTCAGGCAGGGGCCACTGAATTCAGTGTGATATTCTTTGTCCAAGGCACTGTAACAGACACATCAGGGAGCAGTACAAGAATTTAGTGGTGGAGGTGATGATACAGCAAACCAGAGGCTGCCTGTTACTACTGTAAATATCGCATGTACGTAATAAATGTCCAGAAATCACACAAAAGACTCTAGTCTGCCCTCCTTTTACCCAAACCAAACAAAATAGTGACAGGAAATTGTCTTCCCCACCCAAATCAGCTCACCTTTCATCCTGTCCCCCACCTCCCTTCTCCCAAGTAGGAATCGCCAAACCCCAAAGGATGGTGGGAAGCACAAGCAGACTCCTCTTTAGTGACCTGGGGGAAAGGAAAGGCTAGGAAAGCTGATAGAACAACCGTTCTTCTCCTGTCACAGGGGTTTCTGTTCACCCACAACCGGAGATTAAAAGAAAGAGAGGAAAGCATGTCCCCGCGGAAAGTTCTCCTTGGCAGTGACCCCAGTGCCCTCAGGCGCAAAGCCCTTGTCTCCAGGACAGCAAGAGCAGCCTCCCCACCCGGTCTAGCTCACCCCTCTCCTGAACCAGGGCGGGAACCCCAGCCCTACCTGTCGATGCTGATGGCACAGAGGTTCAGGATGCTGGCTGTACACATCATCACGTCCAGGGTGACGAAAACGTCGCAGCAAAGGCGGCTGAAATTCCAGACTCCGCCTGTCACCTGGGCATCGGAGATGAGGATGTTAGTGTTCCTCCCTCAGCGACGGGACACAGCCCAGCCATGTCTTCCCTGGGCTGCCCCCCACCGAGGCTGACACGCCCTCCCTGTGGAACATCATCATTATCGAGGGCAGGGGGACAGCAAGGGAGCTACGGGCTGCCCAAGGGTGGTCGCCGTCAAGAAAGGACGACATCACAGGACCTTAGAAGGTCAGAGCGGGAAGGGACCCTCCAAATCAACTAGATCAACATTTCTCAAATGTGGCCCACAGTGGGGAATGCTTTAGAGAGGAAGATTTCTGAGCCCTTCCCTGGACTCCTGAGTTAGACTTTTTGAAGCTGGGGCCCATGGATCTTTATTTTAAATATATTTTATTTTTTATTTTATTTATTTTTTTTACAGAGAGGAAGGGAAAGGGATAGAGAGTTAGAAACATTGATGGGAGAGAAACATCAATCAGCTGCCTCTTGCACACCTCCTACTAGGGATGTGCCTGTAACCAAGATACATGCCCTTGACGGGAATCGAACCTGGGACCTTTGAGTCAGCAGGCTGATGCTCTATCCACTGAGCCAAACCAGTTAGGTCTTGTTCTTCACTTTAAAGTAAATACTCCCTCCCACCCAATCACACCACAATTTGAGAATCACTGATTGAGTTCAAACTCAGGAGGCAATGGAAGGCCATGTGGCTAAATGATATGCCCATAGATGCCTAGCTGGCAGTGAATGAGCTGGTAGTGGAGGAGCCAGATGTGGGCACTGGGCCAAAGCTGCCTCTCCAAAGCCCTCCAGTCAATAGAGAGCTCACCATAGACCCAGGAAATGAGCAGTGAACACGCTTTTCATAAAACGTAACTCCCAAAATGCAATTCTATCTGGCTTCTGGTTCTAAAGCTTGGAAGCACCTTGGAGCAACATCTCTAAAATCCCATGTAAGATAAGTCTGGGCCAATGTGCCTGCCTCAACACTGGGTCCCCATCACCAAGAACTGTGGAGAAAGACAGGGTCTAGGGCATTCGAAAGGGCCCTGGTCCTCTCTACCACTTGCAGAATCAGTGAGGATGACTCTGATCTCATGCTGTTCCTCATACGTTTCAAGCTCCAGAACTTCCTGTGATACTTGATAATCGTCAGCAAAACAGGCAATTTAATTTACATTCTAGCACATTTCTATTTTATTAAAAAAATTATATAACCTTATTGTACGAGAGAGACCTGTCAGGGAGAATGCCACTTTCAGAATGTCCACAAATGCCATTCTCGGGGCCAAGCTTTGGTTCTTTGCCAGCTTCCTACCTGTAGGGCTGCCATCCTTGGGGATCATAGTTCTCAAGGACAAACCTGTGAAGCTTTGTGTCCCTGGCTGTAGTGGGCGTCCTTGTTGGGCAGACCCAATGGCTAATTATGACGAAGAGAGAGTTGCCTCTGAAGTGGATTCTTGAGGAAAAAGGAGACACTGTGAAAGGATAGTGCTTAATGATAGTGCTGAAGCATTTGGTTTTATCACTATACTAGAGGCCCAGGTGCACAAATTCATGCATGAGTGGGGTCTGGCAGCCCGACCCCAATCAGGGCGAATTGGGGCTGGGCCTGTGAGGGGAAGGAGATGGCAGGAAGTTGGCCAGCCAGACTAGCTGGGGGAAGGGGCCATGAGCGATTGGCCAGTGGGCCTTGACCCGGATTGGAATTGGGTAGCTGATTGAGGGTGGGGCTGGCCATGGGGAGGGGCTGTGGGTGGTTGGCTGGCCTGCCCTTCCCTGCCTCTGATCAGGGTAAGGGGGCAAATATGGAGTGAGGCCAGCCGGGTGGAGAGGCTATGGGCCTATCATGGTGGGGTGGGCTGATCAGGGGCCTGGCTGGGTGTTGGGGGGTGGGCATTGGGAAGGGACATTTTGGCTGGCAGACCCCACTCTTGATTGGGTCGGAGAGTCTGATCAGGGGCAGGCTGGCAGGGGAGGGGGCCACAAGGTTGTCCACCGGTCCCACTCCCTGATTGGGCTGGTTTGCTGGCCACAGAGGGCATCATAGCAACCAGTTGTTGGGTCGTTATGGCCATTATGGTAGTTGCCTATATATATATATATATATATATATATATATATATATATATATATATATATATAGATTTGGTAATCTTAGACCCTATTTTGACATACTCTGATCAAAGATATTTTATTTAAAAGCATCAGTGAGAAGTCCAAACTAACTATGAAGTAATCATTTTTGCTCATTTGGCTGTGGATTTACTTTCTCTCTTTTATTTTTTAAATACATTTTATTTATTTACTTTCTAGAGTGAAAGGAAGGGAGGGGGACTAAGAGATAGAAACATCAATCGACCGCATCCTGCAGGCCTCCGACTGCTGATCGAGCCCACAACCTGGCTTGTGCCTTGACCAGGAATCGAGCCAGTGACCTTTTGATTCACAGGCTGATGCTCAACCACTAAGCTAGTGCCAGCAGGGCTACTTTCTGTTTTTTAGTTCAACCACTTGGATCTATATAAATAAAGGCCAAATATTAATTTATAGGAATTCTGAGAAAGGAAAACTTTATTTTCTCTTTATCTTATTTCGTTTTCCCCTCTATCACCATTTATCCCCCCTATAACCTCTTCCATCTCCCTCCACCCTGAAAAATTTTTTTACAAAGGGTATTTATAGTCATAATAACCCAATAAGGCAAACAATTATTTCCAATTTATAGATAACAAAATGGTGACTGAGAGGCGTTGGACAATTTGCCTAAGGACACTTCACTAGTAAAAGGAGCTGGCATTTCAAACCCTTAATAGAAACCAGAACTCTATTTTGCCTCTCACAGGTCAGCACCGTAACACTCCGCTTCTGGGAAATGTACAGTTTAACTTCTTCCTGATAACATAGGAGGAGGAAGAGCTGGCGTTTGCTCATTCATCTGCCCATACATCCAATGCTTATTGAGTGCCCATTATGTGTCTGATACTTCGCTTGGGTAGGTGCACTGAAATGAATTAAATGCGTTTTTTGTTTGTTTGTTTGTTTTTTGGTCCCCAGGGCCTCAGAATATGGTGTGTGCAGGTTAGGGGGAGAAATGTGTCAATGGGTGTTGGTGAATTGAGGGCTCAGGAGATAGACACCAAGAAAATAACTGTAATACAAAGTGTTAAGTGCCGACAGTGAGATAAGTAGAAAGTGTTGGGAGAACGTGAAAGGTAAAGTGATTTTTGAAATTATAGCAGCAAAAAAGTCTGATTAATTTAAGCCTCTTTAGAGACACGATTCTACCTTCCCCCTAAATTCTAATAAATAACTCACTTCAGAATAATCGAGCAGCCAGGTGGTGTTACTCTCACTTGCTAATGAATATAACTAGCTCCCTTTGGCAATACAGAAAGTGGGAGGAAGCAACAAAGTGTCTTCAGGTACAGAAGTTGGCTGTTGATTTTCTTCTTCTTTTTTTTTTTTTTCCCCAACAGACACAGCCTGCAGCAGCATTCCCCAAAATTACTGATTATAAGGCAGCATTTCCCAAAGCACCTGAGGCTCTTGCTAAACAAAATGTTTCTCGGGCCCCACTCAGAATAATAAGTCCCTGGAGTGATTCCTACTGCCTGGGAAGTTTGGAAAGCGGTGGTCTGGAGCGTGTGTATGAAGTGTGTGTGTGTGTGTGTGTGTGTGTGTGTGTGTGCGTGCGTGCGTGTGTGTGTGTGTGTGTGTGTGTGTGTGTGTGTTGGCACTGCCTTCAGAAATGGTTGTCCCAAAGCAGGCTCCTTAAGCATTCTTTGTTCTCTGGGAATCTTTGGCCTCATCGTTCCCTCCTGAGAAGAATGTTTTTTACGTGCATATAATAAAATACAATGGATCATAAAGGATACCAATTATATTGGAATATAGTTACCAAAGTATTTTAAGTTTATGTGCTTCTTTAATAATGCATTCAATGACAAGAGCTAGTGGCAGGGACAAAATTCCTATAATTTCAAAGTATTGATGAATTAAATGGTACTTCAAGGTGTGTGTAACAACTGCAGTACGATCCTAAAATGTAAATATCCGTGATTTCTGCAGGTGATATTAAGGATTTCTTCTGCTATAGGTCGATGCCTACATCCATAATTGGTGGATGTGTTAAATTTCAGTTTAGTGAAAATAAGGAAGTAATTTTATTTATAACCAAGCTGATGGATTCCCGGACTAAGAATTCTTGCTCTGAGGGATGGATTTTTAGTTGCTTTGAGGGGACAGCAAAAGGTAAAGATGGAATCACTTCTCAGATTACCTTCTTTCATTTTATTTTTGTTTGCCACATTTGGAATATATATTAAAATAAAAAAATTACATATATAGAATTTTTTTAATTTTTTGCAACAGGGGATTGCTGTGGGGCAAGATAGGAGGTTTATTTCTCTGAATTCTAATATCTTCATCTGTGAAATGGGTGTTTTCTTTTTTCTTTTCTTTCAGATTAGCAGTTTCTAAATGTCAGTTTGCAGCAGATAGCTGGCTGGCTGCACAAATCCCTTGGGTGGGAGTGGGTCTGGGTCTGGGGTCTGGTTACACACTATACACTTCCAAAGCCACACCTGGAAATTCCCGTTCGGTAGATGGGGATAAACCCAACCGTCTGTATTTGGAGTGCATCATAGTCACGGAGGAGCCCATTTGAAATGCAGACTCTCCTTTATTTCTAATAATCAAAGTCATTACAAGGCCCCAAGGCTCCCCTCTCCCCAAAATGAGCTGCTCTGTCCTGTCATCGTGCTCTGATCCTCTCCACTCTCTCTAAGGTGCGTCTCCATGCCTGAACCCACCCCGCTCTGTTTTGTCTACATTACTTCATGCCTGATCTTTTCTGCCATCCACACTGTGACCCCAGCACTCTGGGTTTAGTATTCCGGATGTTGCCCTGGCTGCTTAGGTTGCCTTTCTGACCTGATACAAGTGCATTACACATCACAAAAGGTGCTTAACTGAGTGGAACAAAATGGGATGGTTGTGCTTGGAGAGGAGAGCTCCAAACAGCTGGCGGCTTCTAAAACTGGACATTTAGAGCTTGAGAGGGAATCTAAGACACAGCTATTTGGTATGGCACAGAAAAGAGTTTTTGAGAAAACACTGCAAACTGAATTAAAGAGACAGGCGGGCCACAGCCCTCAGTATCACTATGCTGAGGTCACCCATATGGCTTTTCTCATAAACTTCTCTGCCAGGCCTGGGACAGAGGAAGCTGAAGAGGGCCAGTGCTCGCCTTCATACACTGCCCAAGCCCAGGCTGCTGTGTGCCTCAGTGATGAGAATGGTAACAGAAGCCACATGGTGCGTGCTTGCTGACTATGCCCTTCCCTGTTTCCAACAGGCCTAAGATTCTACTGGGAGTCCCTGAGGTTCCCGCGCAGTTGATGTGCTCCATGGAAGGAACTCTTCTTTGCGAAACCCGCTTTGCTATTCAGCGGTTCTTTCAGAGAAAATCATGTGCCACAAGCCAGCTCAATCAAAGCGCCTCTGGATGCATTTACTAGAAATTTGGGGACATAGACTTTCCCTCCTGCTTCTGTTGTGTACATGTGAGGCTTAGAGCTTACCCTCTGCCGCTGGGTAAAGCCAATGCCCGGAAAAAGACAGCTGAGAGAATCACAGAGAAGTGGAGGTGGACTCCTGTTCCAGCTGTGCCTGTAGCCTGCTGATCACCAGACTTTTAGGGTGCCTGGCGTGAGAGCCAATGCATTCTGCTTACTGTTTAAGTCCATTGCAGGTAAATTTCCTTTTACTTACAACTAAACACGTCTTAACTGAGATATTTAGAGATTACCCTTTTAAGTTACCAAAACACTTCCTCATTGAATGACAGTTGAGCCTAACACATATCCTATGAGATAAGAATAATTGTCACTTCCGTTTTAAACACTTAATTCCCACATCTTCATGACTCCAATTTCTGAGTCTTTCTCATAGCACGAATCTGTGTTAGAATGACATTCAATCCCGGTGAATTCCATCAGAAGCATGATGTTATGTGATATGTGACATTTCATTGCCTACCTCACAGCAATTCATTACCTCCAGATCTTTTTTGTTTTGTTAATCCTCACCCAAGGATATTTTTTCCCATTGATTTTAAGAAAGAGTGAAAGGGAGAGAAGAGAGAGAGAGAGAGAGAGAGAGAGAGAGAGAGAGAGAGAGAGAGAGAGAGAGAGAGAGAGAGAGAGAAAGAGAGAGAGAGAGAGAGGGAGAGAGAGACATTTATGTGAGAGGGCTAGGGATTAAACTCTGAGTTTAATATTCCAGATGTTGCCCTGGCTGCTCAGGTTGCCTTTATGTTCTTATATAAGTGCATTAAGCATCACAAAGAGAACCCAATACAAGACTCTTTGGTACAAGAGCCAGTGCTCTAACCATTGGGCATACCGGCCCAGGCTTCACATAGTTTTCAATGAAATCCACATTTTCACTTTCCCCCCCCCCTACTATCCATTTCAGCCAAAAGTGGCTTTATGATCCATTTCTGGCTAATTAGACTTAAGTGAAGTCCCTCAGTGAGAAGTTTTGAGCCACTCTAGGGAAACAGCTATTTTTTTCCCCCCTTTGCAGTCCCCACCTATCCTGAGTGGACTGTTGAGGGAAGTGATGCAGAGATATTCAGGTGCATTGACAAGAGCCCAGGAGCCAGTGAGAAGCACCAAGTGCAGGTGCTAAAGCCCATTTCTCAGTGGAGAGATGTCTCTGCTGCCTCAAATCTTCTTTACATTATTGTACACTTATTGGTTCACACTCTTGATTCCTGAACACTTACACCAGAGGGCATATTGGTTTTCATGAGGGGAGACCAAGGGCTCCACCAGAATTCTTTTCTTAGGAGAAAACATATAGGTCCAACCTGCAGGGGGTTCACTGAGCCTTTGGCAAGATTTCATGCCGGCCCTCTGCGGACACAGCTGTCCTTCACGCTCAGCGGTCGAAGGGGGCATTATCTTTTTTGGCAGGTGTGGCTAGAGGGGCTGCCATAGTAGGTATGTAGAAAAGTCACAATATGCCTCTCCTATACCAATATCCACAGAGATGTTCTAATAGGGTTCATCCAGAGTCCTGGAAGCAATCACAAATGGACAGCCAACGGGCACACCTGAATGACCTTGTCACGGACACTAAAACCCTGGTTTCATTTCAGAGACAATTAAAGGGCTTATTAGACTGAAAGTCCTCTTCCTGCATTTGTTTCTGATGTTCATCTTCCCCAAAGACTTAAGAACCCGTGTAAGGTATAGGGATGGACAGAAACATCTTGGTGGGTGGGTGGTGGTGTGCTGGATTATTGACTAATCCATACTAGGTTATTGCACCTAACGTGTGCCCCATCTTTGAGCAGAAATATCACATGCTTTTAACTCCTTTTCAGTCTCATTAGTATTGAATGCTAAAAAAAAACAAAACAAACCCAGTTCATTGTTATAATAGGCACAGCAGCAACTGATAAAAGCAGGAATTGACCATGTAATGCAGAAAAGATTCATTTAATCATTCATGTCTCAAATATTTATTTAGCACCTATGATGTACCAGTGTATTTGGACTACAGGAAAAAAGAACACATAGCCTCTGACTTTAAGACTGTCTCAGCCTAATTGGGATTGACAGAAAAGTCAAGATAATTACAAGACCCTTTGCCATCATGATTATCCTAACTGGGAAGGATAAATGCATATATTTTCCTTGGAGTATTCTTTTAGACCAGCGATTTTCAACCAGTGTACCACAAGAATTTTTAAAGCATGCAATATCTGACTATTTTGTCAAGGTTACTAACCTCTATTCCCTTAGATTGTCAAATAAAAAATGACAACAACCAACAGAGCAATAGCCATCTGGTGTGAATGCCCTGTCTTGAACCATAAATATATGTCATATAATAGAGTTGCATCTTTGTAGTCATGTTGCCTAATAAAGTTGCATTTGATTGATAATTCTTGGTACCAGCAATTTTTATATAGATGCTTGATTTTTTAAAAAGTCACTTTGGAGCAAAAAGTGTAGGTATTTATTATTATTATTATTATTATTATTATTGGTAAATCAATAAAAAGTATACCTTTTTTGTCAGATCAGCAAAAATATATATTTTTTGGTGTGCTGCAGAATTTTAGTAATTGGTTTTTGTGTGTCATAAGATGAAAATGGTTAAAAATTGCTGCTTGAGCTGTTAAATTTATTCCTAATCATCCTAGTTGTTTTTCTACTTTTCCCTTTCTTTGTTATTTTCTTTTTTTTTAATACTTTTCTGTTGAGATTATAAGTCTAATTTTAGTTCCCAGTCATTCTTTAATACAAAAACCAGCCTAGGCAGCCTATGTTGGAGGTTTTTGCTCTCCTGTGATATGTCATACATAATTAACTGTCATCTTCACTATTCATATTAACAGAGATATTAATTTGATGAATTTCAATTTCTCTTAATCATAGCATCATTTTGATCACTCATTGGATACCTCTTTAGAATGATACATGTACAGAGGAGAAATATTAATAGTATATTAACATGCCTTTAAGAAAACTCTTTAGTAAATTGCATGTTTTCTTGGTAAGAATATCTATTTTTTTAAATATATTTTATTGATTTTGTACAGAGAGGAAGGAAGAGAGATAGAAAGTTAGAAACATCGATGAGAGAGAGTCATTGATCAGCTGCCTCTTGTACACCCCCTACTGGGGATATGCCCGCAACCAAGATACATGCCCTTGACCAGAATCGAACCAGGGTCCCTTCAGTCCCCAAGCCGACGCTCTATCCATTGAGCCAAACCGGTTTCGGCAAGAATATCTATTTCTTGAGCAGTTGTAGGCACCCTGATTTCTTTGTTAGCAAATGGCTGTTTTGTCACCTCTTGACTCTGCTTTACACTTTTGAATGAAAACACTTTCAAATTTAAGAAATACTTCTTTCCAAAATAATTCTCCGGGGTCTGCTGCATTATCTGATTGGTGAGGGCTTGGTACTGTTAATGGAGGCATCAAAAACATACATTTAGGCCTGGCTGGTGTGGCTCAGTTGGTTGGGTATCCTCCCCTGCACTAGCTTGAATCCCAGTCAGAGCACATGCCCAGGTTGCAGGCTCAGTGTCCAGTAGGGGGCATGCAGGAGGCAGCCAGTGGATGCTTCTCTCTCACATTGATGCCTCTCTCCCTCCCTCTCTCTCCCCCTCTCCCTTAAATCAATAAAAACATATTTAAATATATATGTATATACACAACTTTGAAGGTTTGGTCTGTTCCTTCAGCAGCAGTCTGTGGAGAGCTGATTCCCAGGAGAAAAGAACCAAGTCTAAGGGCAGCTGAACCATCTAAAGAAGTCTGATCTATTTGCAGACTTTTTCTCCTCATTCATTCATTTTTTTTCTATAATTCCTTTTGTACTCCCCACCCTTCTCCTGGATCCCTCCTGTACACTCTCACGCCTCTGTACTGATGAAAGTGCCTTTTGACTGTCTTCTCCAACCCCTCATGTCTTTGAGTCATGCCTGGCACCGAGAGTCAACCTCATGCATTTTAAAGCTGAGCCCCGTCACTTATGCCTGGTTACCTGGATACTGGAGACCTGGGAACAGACTCACTTCCAGCTCTCTGGTTCTGATGTATGCAAATGATGCTGGATAATGACTGTTCTCAAAATCCTCAGCTCCCTCATGAAAGGGAGAAGGACAGGAGCTCTCCTTCCTCCCCTAGACCACGGGTCTCAGAAGGGAGCATTTTGAGCCCAGAAGGCCGGGAGCTCAGGGAAGACAAGGACAAACACAGTCACAAGGTTCAGCCGGAACCTGGGCTCACTCACCTCCAGGTACACCACCCAGGGCATCACCAAGGTGGCCACCAGCAAGTCAGCCACAGCCAGGCTCACTACCAGGTAGTTGGTGGTGGTCTGCAGGGCCCGTTCCCTCAGCACGGCCACACACACCAGACCATTGCCAAAGACAATGGCAAGGATGAGCGAACAGTAGGACAGGGCATAGTAGGCATGTGGGCGAGCCTGGCTGGCCCCCGTGAAGTTGTCTGTCCCACAGGTGGAGTTGATGTGACCACTCAGCTGACTCAGTGACGCCATAGCCCAGAGGGAGAGCAGTGACCCCAATGGGTATCCTGGGAGGAGACGGAAAACAATGTTGGTAAAGTCAGACTTTTTGTAGCTGGGCTGCTTGCAAACTTAATCTGATTTATTGTTTCAACAAATATTTACTGAGCACTTTCTTTATGACAAGCACTGGAAATACAGAAATGAGCAAAAGGATAAGATTCCTGCCCTCTTGCCCTGGCTGGGTGGCTCAGCTTGTTGGGAGTGTTGCCTTATACACCAAAGGGCTGTGGGTTTGACTCCCAGTCAGGACAATATCTAGATTGTAGGTTCAATCCCCCAGTGGGGACATGTATAGGAAGCAATGGATTGGTGTTTCTCCCTCACATGTGTCTCTCTCTCTCTTTTGCTCCCTCTCTTCCTCTCTCTCTAAAAATCAATAAAACAAACAAACAAACAAACAAATCAATAAAACATATCCTCAGGTGAGGATTTAAAAAATTCCTGTTATCTTGAAGTTTCTATTCAGGAGGTAAAGACTAATAAACAAGATAAATAAAAGACGTAGTGTGTATTTTGGAGAACAGTAAATCAAGGGAAGGGGGTAAGGAGAGGGAGAGGAGTGTGTGTGTGTGTGTGTGTGTGTGTGTGTGTGTGTGTGTGTAGGGTACCTGAGGGCAATTTCTAATCAGTATAATCAGGCCTTCACAGAGGAGGTGACAATTGAATTAAGACCTGAGGACCCAAGGAAGCCACATGTGCAGAATTCTGCAGGAAGAGTTGTCCAAGCAGAAGGAGCAGCAGGTGAAAAGACAAGACGATGGCACATGGGAGGGACAGCAGGGAGGTCAGTGTGGCTGAAGCAAGTGAGGCTGGGGCATTTGAAAAGGCATGAGGCTGAGAGGTTGTGCAGGGGCTGAGAAAGATGGGGAGCTGGTGCAGAATTAGAATAACAGCCTTATCACTTTCTAACTTTGTTAATTCAGCTCTCCAAGCTTCATTTCCCTCCTCTAAAATGGGGGACATGATGGAACCCATCCCATAGGGTTTTTGTGATGATTAAAGGAGCTATTTTATTTATTTATTTTATTTAAAAAATTTCTTTATTGATTAAGGTATTACATATGTGTCCTAATTCCCTCATTCTGCTCCCCCCACAATACCCCTCTCATACCCTCACCCTCCTGTTGTCTGTGTCCATTGGTTAGGCTTATATGCATGTATACAAGTCCTTTGGTTGATTTCTCACACTTATTCCCACCCTCCCCTACTTTCCCTCTGAGGATTAATGGTCTGATTGATGTTTCTCTGTCTCTGGATCTATTTTTGTTCATCAGTTTAAGTTGTTCATTATATTTAAGGGAGCTATTTTATATGTAAGACATTGAAAGCCAAATTTGACATCTAGAAAGCGATATAAGTTAGCTCTTTTTTCTTTTACTGGCCTGTTTCTCTAAGCTTCCCACCCCTGTCCTTGTTTCCTCCATCCCATCCTCTATTGCTACCATTTGCCATTTCCTTTGCCTTCCTATGTCTCCCTAACTTCCTTCAACCTCCTAGTCTCTCTCTGGTATCTCACATAGGGCTTATGAGGGTTGGGAGAGAGTAATGGAGTCTCTAGAGGCTACATGGTGGTCTTTATATTTAGGGAAAATCCATGTGTGGAGTTTCATTTGAAACTTAAATTTTAAAGATTGGTTACCAATCGGAGGAGTGCTTGAGCCCTCTGAAGTCCCTCCGCCCCCCAACCCACCATGAATCCCACATCCGTGGGCCAGTGACCCATGCACTACCCCCTTTCACCCTCTGACCTAGTTCAACACTCTCACTCTTCAAACAGGGAAATTGAGACCCATAGAGATGAATGGCATGTCTTAAGTCACACAGTTTGTTAGAACTAGCACACAGGCCTTTTAATTCTCCAAATACTCTCATTGGCATTTGAAAACCATAACTGTCATGTTACTATCCCACTGGGAAAAGCCAGTCCTCAAACTGTGGGGACTTTGGACTTAGAGTGGGAAAGGCATCAGAGCCCATCAGCTGCCCTCTTGACACCAGCCTGTTGGGGCCCCCAGAGCAAGTAGAGCCAAGTTTGTGTGTCTGTGGGCATCGAGAGTCACCATGCCCTGAAGGAAACTATGGGAATGCCTATGTGCCAAGGGTAGCGGAGCATTACAACCAGGTTCTGGAAGAAGGCACTTCAGCCTATAGCACTGCCCTGAGACCTGGGCAAGAGGGGCTCTGGCCCCAGGCTTTGTGCTTTAGAGGCTTCTACACTGGACCCCATCTGGTCACATCCTCCCCACAGGATGAGACTTCACCCTCCAATAGCACCAAGGAGCAGGTCCACCAAGAGCCCACACTCCCCTTTTATTTTTTAAATATATATATATTTATTTATTTCAGAGAGGAAGGAAAAGGGAGAGAGAGAGATAGAAACATCAATGATGAGAGAGAATCATTGATCAACTGCCTCTTGCATGCCCCACACTGGGGATCAAGCCTGCAACCTGGACCAGGAATCAAAGCATGACCTCCTGGTTCATAGGTTGGTGCTCAACCACTGAGCCACATCAGCTGGTTCCACATTCCCCTTTTAGAACATGCTCTGGGCATTAAGGTCACAGAATTCTCAGCCCAAACTGCTTGGAGCCTGTTTCTAGGCCAGCACTGGTATTTTCTGGATCTGTCACCCTGAGTGTAGATGGTGCCATGTATATGTGGGGGCCCTGGGTTCATGTGGTAGCTCTTTGGGAGCTCAGATGAATAGCTTGGGTGTGGCTGAGGTGGGGAGAGGAGAGGAAAGAGTCTCTGGGACAGGATGGGTGAGGGGGAACTTAAGTCACACAGTTTATTAGAACTAGCACACAGGCCTTTTAATTCTCTTGCCCTCTCACATTTTGTTTGGAACTCTTAAGGGCCCAGGTATGCTAAATTCAAACTTGTCCTTTCAGATTAGGAGGCCATATTTGTCAAGGCAGAAGGAGGAAACATTTTATTCAATGATTTGTTGGTTATGGCTAAAATATTAGACATGGAGCATATGGACCTCCATGGGAACTTCTGTTCCAACTCCTGGAGAGGTAGAGGCTGATGGATACCACTCCTGATAGCCGAGCTCTGCTTTGATTAGAAGATTAGCCTAATCGTGGCTGTCATTTCCTACCGCATATTTCAGTCTGGAATGTATAAGTGCTAAAATGAATAAATGATTGTAAGGGGAGGCTGGATCAAATTTGGATCAAATTCAGAGAATTGTTCAAAGTAATTGTTCTTTATTTTGGCACACTGTTTGCACTTGATATATTTTAAAGCATAATAACAATTTTTGATAATAATTATAATTTCCTCATTCTTCGGAGAAGGGCAGCTGTTATCCTGGAGATAGCACTGCTGTTGCCAAGAGCTTTTGGAAAAATACAATGCTTTCTGATTGTTAAGGATGTTTTCACCTTTGAGGCAGGCTAAATCCCAGGAAGCAACGGGGCCACCTTGGAAAGCAGTGGCCAGAAATCACTATTTCCTGGGGCATGCAGATGGCTAATATCTTTACCTCTTCTCACTTGTCAGGTAAGAGGGATGAGGAAACCTGGGGATATTTGTTACCATCTTGCTGGACATTTTATTCCGCCGAGGTTTGACAGCTAATTAAAAACAGTACAGCTAAATGTCAATGACTAATTATGCGAAGGGGAACCTTCAACTCTGAAAATCAATTCTGAGCCTGATGTTGGAACCACAATTGCAAATATTTCTGATTTATCTTTCTATTTTGCATTGTACTGTCTCCGGTCTTTGATTCCTTATAGCAGCAGGTTGTCCAGCAGCTCCTGATGAGTTGCGGGTGTGGGAGATGAAAGCAGAAAATGAGTGAAATGCTAGATTACTTCCTATCTCTCAGCTAATTGTTTCAACTTCCTCTCTCCTTAGATTTTTTTCTTTCAAACCAGCATCGATTATATAACACAGAGCTTGGCTGGGCTTTCTTCTTTCTTTCTCCCTCTGATATATAAGCTAACAAATGGTAAACAGGTCTTAGGTAGGAGAAGCAAAAAGCCCAGAGAATTCATTAACTTAATAACAACTCACTAAGTAATTCCTAATGATAGCTGGTTTCCTCATCAGCAAAATGAGAATAATCATATCCACTCCACACAGTTATTATGATAATCAAATAAAATGATAGGCACAAAGGCTTGTAACTATTGAGTTTGTTGTGAGGGTTTGTCCTGTGCACCTGTCCTAGAATGATTGGTGGCTTTCCTGACATCTACCCACTGGATGACAGGAGCACTTCCCTTCCCCTAAATTGTGACAGCCAAAAATGTCTCCAGACATTCTCAATTGTTCCTTCTGGGGTAAAATTGCTCTCCCCATTGAGAATCATGGCTCTAGCATAATGTCTGGCATGTAGCACTTGAAACATTGCAGCTATTATTGTTAAAGGAAAACTGGGACTAAGTAAAGGGGTCATCAAATAAAGTACAATTGCATCGTATCTAATGGACTTGGAAATTAGGAGATTACTGGTGACCTCAGCAAAGAGTGTGAGCAGTGAAGAGTGGATGGGAGGTGAGAAAGTAGAGAAGGCAAGAACTAAAAGATTATTGCTGGTTTTGCTCTTTTGGATTCTATATATATAACACCACTTACAAATTTTAATAAGCCTTTGAATTTCTTACAAAGTATTGACTAATCTTGGTCTTTATAGTTTATTTTAGCATTTTTTTAGAGTGAGAGCATAATCTTTAAAAAGCAGAGGGACAGAGAGTGGTCATGCCTCCATCAGCTCTGCTATATGTCCTGCTTTGCTGATATTCAATACCTCAGTCTGAACTACAGTCTACATGAGACACTGTGGGGTACCTCTTTGGCATCTGGTTCCATACCAGGCTCCTGTTGAATTTGTTAGGAAGATACTTATTAATATGTTCAATATTGTAATATTTTTCTTTCCTTAAGGCTATTGAATTAAAAAAACAAAACAAAACCAAACACACACACACACACACACACACACACACACACACACACACACCAAAACCCAAACCAAACACCTTTAGTTCTCAACCTCCTCCTGAAGACAATAGTCACTACCCTTTATGGCTGCTACTGTGTGCCAAGCATTAGTACTTTACACATATTATCTCATTTTTTTCATATTATCTCATTTTAATGCTTATAGCCACCCTGGAGATAGATATTGATAGTGCCTTTCATAGATTAAAACACTGATAGAGGTTCAGTAACTTTTTTTCAAGATTACACAATAGTGTAGAGGGCTACGTTGAGCCCAGCTTTGATCTCTGATTTCCTTAAATCTAAAACTCATGACTTATTTGGTGTCCAAGCTGGAAGTGAAATTGATGTGGCAGTCATTTCCAGGTAGAAATGGTTTTTCCTAAACCTGGAACAAAACACCTAGATAGCAGTTCCATGACCAAATCACTTGTGTCATGGATCTCTGTCTTTTGCTGTCTCTAATCTTTTACTCAGTAACATTCTTAAAAAATTAATCTATTTATTAGTTTTATGAGAGAGACAGAGAGAGAAAGAGAGAGAAACAATCAATTTGTTGTTCTACCCTCTTATGCATTCATTGATTGATTCTTGTATGTGCCGTGACCAGGGATCAAACCCTCAACTTTGGTGTATCTGGGTGATGTATCAACAAACTGAGCTACCCAGCCAGGGTCTCAGTTACATTCTGACCTCTAGACTCCAGAGATATTTTTGGTTCTGGGCTTTAATGCAGACTTGCCATATTGCCCTAAAAGTTAATAATTATAGCTAATAATTATAAGCATTATTATATTAGAACCTCACAACAACCTAATCAAGGAAGTAGTTGCTATTACTATCACCATTTTTACAGATGGAGAAATTAACAGAAAGGTTAAGTATCTTCCTGCAGTTGTACATCAGTAAATGATGGAGTTGGTTCAACCTAAGAGCTCTCTGTTTCCAGAGTTTATGTTCTTATATACCCACTATTGGGATGAGAGAGACAATGAAATGGGGACTAATTTTCAAACCTCCCCCTTTAAGAGTATCTGTGCACATCACCTGACCCAGCTCAGTGAAGTCAATGCAGGTGCATACTGCACATAGCAACAGTGGGAGTTACATTGTCATTATTACTAAATGTAGTCTTTAGCATTTGTATGGATTTTATTCTTTAAAATTACAGTCTAGTTTATTTTCCTAATGAATATCCACAAATGCATTGAAATACATAGCATATTTACATATGTGAGCACATTTACATTATTGGCAAATGTACAGAGAAAAACCATAGGTGGTTGCTGAGATCTCAGAGCTAAGGTAATATGCTTCTCCCCTAATTAAACCTGCTCAGGAAAGCAAAGCATCCTCACTTTTCATGACAACCACTAAGGACTGAGCATCCTATCATTCTAAACAGAGATAAAATGGGGAAATCAATGTACCAGCCAATCATTGAGCAAATATTAATTGATGGCAAACTTCAATGCATTAGAAATTGAATTTAATATTGAGTAAAATCTGTTCAATATTTGCTCTAATTCATATTTCATAATAGCAGCCTTCTGTATAGATGCTTTAATATCAGATATTCATTTGGATATTGTCAGTATCTTCTCTGCTCAATATCCCTGCTCACAGTTAACCATGTAGACCCTTGAAGATGTTCAGCTATAAATAAACAAGTGTCTGAGTAAGACTCACATATCATATCTGCTTCTCCTTGGCTACAAGAGAACCAACCAATGCTATGTCAAGCAACAATTCTTTACTTTTATCCAGAGATGGACATCTTACCGATCTTCTAGTATTAGTAAACAAAGGACTTCACCTATAACGTCCAAACTGGTATGCAGAATAAGTTTAAAATCCAAGTACCACTTTGCTAGTATGGCATTCTTATTTGTGCATACATTTTAATAGTGTTTGATTAAACTAAATGCATGAACTGGAACAAATGCTTAATTGCAACAACTTCCATTGACCCAATAAGCTACAGTAAGTAATGAAAGTCCCACAATTAAACAACAACAATACCCTCAAAATTATATGCCATCGTTACAGAAAACATACACAATCATCTCAAGTACTGCATATCTCTGCTGGGAATAATTGAATTCTGACTTGGAAAGAGCTGTGCTTTAAATAGACCACTGAAAACAGTGCCTCTCCAAACCCTTAGTCCTGGATTATCAGGGTCTGAATTGAGGGAGTTGAAAATAACAGACCCTTATAATTAAAGTAACACTATTAAGAGGAGTACAATCAATTTTCATACAAACCCCAGGAATAGTAACAGTTTTTATTTTTATTTTCCATCTTGTAATTCTGCCTTGGTTTAGCTACTAGAACTCACGAGGATCTAATTTTTAGGAAGAAAAAAGGAGAATAGATTTCTACTGCCCCCCAATGAAAAAAAAAACAACAACAATCAGTTTCCTCAGGATTTTAGATTTTTAAGTAAGAGAGAGTATAGAGTTTCAATGCATATTCTTAGAGAACCCCAGAACCCCAAACTGATTAAATAACCCTTCCAGAAAAACACTGCGTATTAAAGTAGGAACAAAAAAGAAAAAACTACTTACCCTGAAGATTTCTCTTGATTTCTGAAGACTGAAATGTAGGCGCCTCAGCTTCTGTAGCCATTTACTGACAGCAGACATGCCCAAGCAAAGCAAACTTTGCCCTTCCCAAGACAGAGACTGTGGACATGAACAGAAAGAAAATCACCCATTTTTTGCCTCTAAAGTGACATCACTTGCGTGCTGCTTTCCCAGCTTCTCTAATAGACCTTACTGCATGTGTCATAGCTGCTTTCGAATGCATCCGTTTTCTGTGGAAGATTTGGGAGGGACCCTAAACTGACTGTTGCTTGGGGCAGCCCTCAGAGCCTCTGTCCTTGGTGCTGAAAGAGGGGTCGTAGGCAGATGAAGGATCCTTTTACTACGTTGCTCTACTCTTCCTTTTATGCCTCTATCCGCTCTGTGCTATGCTTTTCAGCACATGTGTGTTTCCCCCTCAGTGCTCTTCTTAATCCCACTTTCAAACTGTCTTTTCTTCTATGCTTTAATGTCTCCATCTTCTTTAGTTTAATTGCTGTTTCAGCTTTTGGTGGGTGTGAAGATGATTAGTTCAGCAGAAGGAACAGATAAACAAATTCATACCACAAGTGGTTAATAGAAATCAGTGCAAATTTAAACACAACTGACAGAATAATTGAACTTGGAGGTGTAAGCCTGCGTGGGAAAAGAAGGTTAAATAAAATATATTACAGTGGAAGAAAAACCGAGGCGTGGAATATAATGTGATGGAGATGAAATAAGCTTAATACTGTGAGAAATGTTAAATGTTCATTTAGCAGCAGTTTTTTCTTCCCCATAGAACTTGACAAAAATATTTGCCAATTCATTCTTACTGTTCTTCTGGGGTATATGTGAGTAATGTTTACTAACTCAACTTTGGAATTGGCTAAAGTGAGATGCAACTAAGGATGCTGCTGATGAAAGTCTGTTTCTGAAAGCAGCACTAGAACTTGGGCAGTTTTACCTCATGATCAGTCATCTGTTCCCATAACATTTACCATGGAATCTTAACTATTCCCTGTTCTCTTGTTTTGATTTCTTCTTCCTTCAGACAGAGTGTTAATTCTTTCACTGCTTTCTCTAATGACAGGGATGTGCTTGGCAGCTGCAGTGCAGACTGTCATGGGGAAGCCAGTTCCAGTGTGGGGACCTCTGCTGGCCGAGAAAGAGGCAGCCACGGCGGCGGCGGCGGCGGCGGCAGAAGCAGCAATAAGCTTTAAATGCTGCTGCTAACAACACTTATTGAACATGTGCTATCAGCTAGTCATTTAATGCATTCCTTCTTTTAATAGTTTCAGTAACCCTCAAATGTAGGTACTATTTTTACATCACCAATTTATAAATAGGAAAATTGAGCTTAGAGAGGTTAAAAATAAAAAATAAAATTTGGAGGTCAAAGCTAGCCAAGATTTGAATATAGACATTTTAATTCTGGAGCATGTTTTCTCTCTTTCTAAAAAATCCACACCAGAGGATATATATATATTTTTTTAATATAGGGCCTTATAGGGCTCCATGGTCAATTACTCTTTTTTAAAAAATATATTTTATTGATTTTTTACAGAGAGGAAGAGAGAGGGATAGAGAGTTAGAAACATGATGAGAGAGAATCATTGATTGGCTGCCTCCTGCACAACCCCCCACTGGTACATGCCCTTGACCGGAATCGAACCTGGGACACTTCAGTCAGCAGACGGATGCTTTACCACTGAGCCAAACCGGTTTCGGCAGAGGATATGCTTTTATTGATTTTAGAGAGAGAGAGAGAAGCATCAATTGTTGTCTCCTATACATGCCCTGAGTACGAATTGAACCCACAACCTTTTGGTGCTTGGGATAATGCTCCAACCAACTAAGCCACATGGCAAATGATAGGGCATGTTTTCTTAACCACTATGCAATAATTCTTTGAAAGGTGGCAAATTTATACTTCCCAAGAAACTGATAATATATCATAGAGATAATTATAGTGACAAAAGTGATGATATCAATGATACAATATTTGTAAGATGACATAATTTATAAAGCATTTTCTAATTCATGTTCTTGATTGCATCTTACATAAATCCTCAGGATGCCCAAGTTTACAGAGGCTGTTATGGATTGAATTATAAACCCCCCCCCCCATGCCAATTATATATTAAAGCCTCAGCCTCAGAATGTGACTTTATCTGGAGATAAGATCTTTAAAGAAGTGATTAAGATGAAGCCATTATGGTCTTCCCTCATCTGATCTGACTGGTGTCCTTAAAGGAGGAAAAAGGTACCAGGGAGACACTTGTGGGAACATAGCAAGA